GCGTGTTGACATTCTGAAACACATTGCCCTCGGCAACAACCATACCACCAGCTTCAATATCAAACGCATGACCAGTGTTGCTGTAGAAGTAGTTGTTCACCGCATGGAGCAGCGTGTTGCCCTGTCCACCGACCTTCGGGCTGCGGCCAGAGGTGTGGTGGATGTAGTTGCCCTTCATGGTGATGAGATCGCTGCCGCCGAGGAGGAGGATGCTCCAGTAGTGGCGGCCGTCGCAGGAGGCGGACCAGGAGGTGCTGCCGTCGAATTCTGAGTTGCTGATTGTTACGCGGCCGGAGGCGCCGTAGCCGGCTACGAACATTTGACGGCCGATGAGGGAGATTTTGACGTGGTCTGTTGGGTTGTTAGAAGTGGAAGGGGTTAAGATGAGAGGAAGTAGACGTACCGATCCAGACTAGGTCAGACTTGTCGAGGGTGATGGCGTCGCCGCCCCAGATGTACTGTGGGTTGAGCTCCGTGATGTGGATGTTCTGGATGATGATGTTCTGTGCTCCATTGGCGATGCGGAGACCTTTGCCACGGATGACACCCTTGTTGCCAACACCGATGAGGGACTTGTTGGAGCCCATGTTGATGGCAGTTACACCAGCGTTGTCGTACTTGACCTGGACAGACGTGGCGCCTGCTCCAGCGTTTCCGTTGTCACACCAGTTGGCAGAGTTGATGGCGTCTTGGCCTCCGTTGCCAGGGCATTTGTTGGATGCGGGACGGCAGCCGGTGGCTGTTGTGGTGCCCTCAGTACCCTTGAAGTTGAACTCTCGGTCGAGCACGATACAGCGTGCTGTGCTATCGCTAAGCCAGGTCTTCAGCTGGGCTACCGAGGAAGGTACAACACAGGCTGCATTGCCACCTCCCGTAGTACCCCTTCCGAAGCCTTCAGGTGTGCCCTTGACTCCGTATGATTGCCTCTCTCCAAGAACGGCGGCGCTGGCTGTGTACGCGCCTGCGAGCGCAAGAATAGAGAACTTCATAGTGAAGAATGAATGATAGATGCTTTCCTGAAGCAAAATGAAGGCTTAATAAGTAGAAAGAGTGGTTTGATACTGTAGATAGTTCTTTACCGGTGGCACATCTGCTCTTTAAAAGCAATTGCCATGCTAGCTAGAAGGGTACCCCTCTGGAAGGATACTCGGCAACCATGCCGGCATCGAGAAACATCTGATGTTGAGGAGAGTAGTTTCTGCGCCTTAGTGTTGATTTCCTCCATTAGCAGGGCGGAAGGACCAGCGCTTGGTGATGATAGGGGCATGGTAAAGCACCAGCTCATGGCGCTAACGCACGCTCCAAATGACAGCGGCGCGCAGTCGAGAACGCCACAGGGACTGTGAGTAGTTTGACAGCTAGCCAGATCCCTGCAATCTGGTTCTCTTCAGGTACTGTTGCCGGTCTGCTATCGTTGTGCCAGGGACCGTGAACATGTTTGCCCTGCTTCTGGAAGCTGCATCATTTCGGCTGTCGCGCTCGAGCCCTGATGGATCCTGCTCTTGGAAATAGATGTGGGACCATTGTTACCGGACGTTCCTAATCGCGCGACTCAGGTGTTGACGGTGTCTGCTCAGGTGTTCGCACGTGTAGTCCATGAACGTGTATTCCTTGTCGGACCGAATGACTACACCACACTGCTGTTAGATCATACCCTAGTCGCTCATCTTTTCGCGATCAGCCTCGAGCTAATCGCTGGTCAGTTGATCTGGCTTCATATAGAGATAGCGCTTGAGCGGTGGAAGAATAATGCAGACCTCGGCGTTCTCTTCGGAACGGGTAGGGCGGATGGCAGACCCTGGGCTAGCACGTTTCGTCTCTCCGCACTTTGGTAGACCTGCGCTAGCGTAGCATATGCCGGCGCTACAAGCACACCAAGCACATCTCGGCAATGTTTTGCCCGGTCATAGGCATGTCGGTGTTTGAGTTGCCAGCATTCCAGCCATACCCATCTAGGTGTATGCATCTGATTCACGGAACAGAAAACCCGTCTTTGACAATGTGATGCTGCAAATGATCCAAGGCTGCCCCAGGAGCAGCAATATCAGGCGTATACGCTTGCTTTGCGACTCTCATGCACGGAAGCTGCTATCCGCACTGTCAAATGTCGGAAGAATATTCACGCGCGTAGCTCGTCGGACATTTAGATGACAGGACGCGATGGATGGAGACTACGAGGTGGATTTAAATGTCCGTAACCCACTTCCACATGGCTACCGAGTGTTAGGACGACGAGTTGAGTAATCGTGACTTTGAATGACTGCGACTCTTCGTGTGTCTGATTTTTCATAACATCGTAATGGCTTGTATTGCATGTAGTCATAACCACCCATACTCCGCTCTTATGCATCAAGTTCGTCCATGCTCATACGTACTCTCTGTCCGCACAGCTCTGGATCATGCCCTTGTTGGTCGCGTCGTACTCAATCAAGTCGACCTTGCCGTCCTTCTCGACAGTGTTCGCCTGGACGAAGACCTTCCTGGGTGTCTTCTTCTTAAGAACGGCCGGCCTGACCATGTTCTCGTAGAAGGGCTCCACAGTGGTTATCTCGTCGTACATCCTCTTACCGGCCGCGTAGTCTGCAGTAGCCTTGTAGATATGCAGCTTCTGGAGGTAGTCATTCACCGCAGGGCGACCTAGATCCAGGATACGATCACGCTCGAGGCGAATCGTCAGGTCGGAGAGATCGTCCTTTTCCCACTCCAGCTGGCAGAACTCAACACCGGCATTGAGGAATGTGCGCAAGATGGAGAAGCGAGCTTGCATGTGGGCTTGGCCCCACTTCCTGCTCTTGGGATCCCAGAACTCTAGGGCCGCAATACCAGCGCGGGCCATCTGAAGGTATGCTGTGAAGAGAACGTCGCCGGCCTCACTGTTCATGTCGGCCTTGCCGTCACCGAAACCGAACAGTTGCAAGATGGGGAATTCGCAAGAGAGCGCCATGGCCACGCACTCGGCACGGCACTCCTCGTAGGAAGCAGCGATCGTGCCGAATGTTGATCCCCAAGTCTGGCCTGGCTTGTACCAAGACTTTATTGGCTGGCCACTTAGTGGTGAGATTGGAGGGTTCTCTTTGTCGAAGTTGAAGACGCCTGGCTCCGTCTCTTGAAGAAGCTTACCACAACCATGGCCTAGCAGCTCGTGGAGGCCGACTTGGACCTCGAAGGCAGGGTCTCGGTACTTTTGGTACGTGGCCAGGTCTTTGTCTTTTATGAAGGGAACAGCCTCGTTTGGTGCTTTTGCAGAGAGGATGTTGCCAAGCGATACGTTCTTGAAGCCGAAGTTTTGCCGAATGTCATCATAGTTGGGGATATTGATTCCGGCAGGGATGCTGTTGATGTTAGATGAGGTCACAGAACAACGTTGAAAGTTTTCTTGACTTACCCACTGCCCGCAAATGTCAGCACCTCGAGCGAGGTGAAGTCAGGGCTAAGGAACTTGTCCTTCTCGAACGACTTGTCCCACGGTAGCAGAGGGATGTACTGTGGCGCGGTCTCGACCAGCTTGCCAAAGGCTCGCGTCCGTTCCTTGTTGACCATAGCAACGAAGCCTTCCCACTCGCCGCGGATGCCGTGTGGGTCGCGATATGTCTCGATGAAGCCGATATCTGATTCCACTTGAGGTCCCTTATCTTGTACCCATGCCTTTTGGCTTTCCTTGAAGGCCTGGAGTGACCCTGTCCTGAAGCTCTTGGAGTATTCCTCCATCATCTTGATCTCGTGGTCATTGGCTGCGTATTTCTTCGCCTGCTCAATGTGGTGCGCGATGGTGTCCATCTCCTTGGAGTAGTCACCAAAGACCAGCTTCACCTTGCTGCCATCGTCCATTGTCCACTCGCTGTCTTTCAGATCGCGTTGTTCTGCCGATGGGTTGTCCGAGGCCGAAGCAATGAGAACCTCGTATCCATCCTTCGCCTTCTTGATCCTTGTGTTTTCCGGAAGCAGTCCTTTGCCTTCGAGGAAATCGCTTACGCTAGAGATCTGTTCGCTGGTGATGCCGGGGCTGTCGGGGTAGTAGGTCGAGATGTGTCCCGCACCGGGGTAGCCCAGATGCAGCTTTCCCACATCGTCGCCGGCATATATGGCGTCCTTGAACTTTTCGTATATGGCCAATGTGTCTTTGGAGGCGGTCGCGAGTGCCTTCAGCTGGCGCGGATCAAGGCGGGGTACAAACTTGCTGTCTCCGAACGACTTGAAGTTGCCTAGGTTGCCTAGAAACTGCGCTGAGTAATCGAGGTATGCGTCAATCTCTTCTTGTGAGAGACCTGTGTCTTGGGCGAGGGAAGCATAGTCGCCCTTGGCGTGCTTGTGGAGGGCGACGATGAAGTCATAGATGTGCTCGGATTCGGGGGAGACTTGGCGGAGGACGACGCGTGTTCCGGCGAAGCAGGCTCTGTGGTATGGGTCAGTTACTATACCACATACTGCTGAGGCATATGTATGTCCTACACTGAGAGATGGTGGGCGTAGAGCTTCTCCTTGTCGCTGAGCGCATCGAAGTGAGGCTTGATGGTCAGAGGCACGACAGTGGGCGGGCTGTCGGCCAGGTACTGCTTGAGGGTCTCGGAATCTATAGTGGCGGTCATGTTGTTGGTGGTAGTTAAGGTTGAGAGTCGTCTGGTGAGCTCCAAGGGCATCGGCGGGGGGCTGATGCGGGCCCAGTAGCGTGGGCGTGGGGTAGCTGCACGTGTCTCACCTGAGGTCGTGGCAGGTTCGCGCCTTGCTGCAGCGCGCCATGGACTAACTCGCCCACTTGCCAACCTCCCTGCAAGAGGCTGCAATGAACGCGGCCTAGCAAGTATCATTGTCAGACGTTTTCGCTCTCAATCGGAGTAGAGTCAAAATTCCTCTCTTCGCCCGCTTAGCTGGCGCAAATTTCCGCCGAGGTGTTTTCCTTTCCGACGCGTCATGGTCGTGCCTTCTCCACTACCCGTCAACGTCACCTTCCATCCCACCAACACTCCCATCATCTCTTTACCTAGCCGCAGATTCTCTCCACCATGGACGACCTTCCCAACGAATTGCTCATCCACATTGTTGACCAATTGAGAGGCCCTACAACCTGGTCAGAACCAGCCGACTACAGCCGCATGCACGCCCTTGCGGCTCTTTGCTCCGTCTCAAAGAAGCTGTACCAGATTGCTAGACCATTACTCTACGAATCGATAGACCTACTCCCAAATGACGGTGTTCTGCCCCAGTCTCGAAGACTTTTTGCTCGTCTCCAGGAGCAGCCAAGCTTTCGCCTCGAGATCAAAGCCCTTCGACAGAAGACGCCTGCTAGGCTGAGACAGGACGGCGAGCGCCGTATGCGCGTCCGCGATGAGTACATGAAAGACACTACAAGAGACGTGAGAGCCTTTGGGCTAGGCACGGAAGACGCCTCAGCACTCGTGGGCCGTTGGCTAGAGTACGAAGACCTATACTTCGCTCTAGTGGCATTTCGGACACCGAACTTGGAGCGTTTATGGGCACGGTCGGCCCTTGAATACCAAGGGCTCTATGACGAATGCAACAATACCCTTCTCGAGGGCATATGCCGTATGGCTATGGGCCTAAGTCGGCTTCACACTCACCGATTTGACAATCTCAAGATTTTGTATTTCGATTTCTCAAATACACCGCAAACGTCCGCGCGGTATGCGTTCCCGTTGTTACTTCTTCCCAACTTGGATGAGCTTACTCTTGTCGCGTTGGGCGGCTATTTCGACATGGCTGAGAATGAAACTGAAGTCGAGTTCGAATACGACGACGCCGACGGCTTGATCATTTTCGGCCGCCCTTGGATGTGGCCACTACGCTCATCGCCTATCACCAAGCTCTCGCTATTCAAACCAGTCATCTCCGAGAATACGGTCAAGAATATGATAACGTCGTGTAAAGCTCTGGAGCGATTTGAATGCTTTCATCCACTGCGTTCCAGCACGCTCGATCAGTGGTTTGGGGGTCTCATTCCTGCGCTGAACAACCACATCGAGAGTCTTCAAAACTTATCATTATTGTGTAGGCAACATTGGCCCTCGTTAGAGAACACTGGCATGGCTCAGCTCAATCCTCTTCATGAATTCACCAACTTAAACTCTGTCAGGGTCTCTTTGTATCTGGTTTCTGATCCGGGGGAAACTTTGAGTGCTCAAAATCTGCCTGCTTTCTTACCGCCAAGCATCACATCACTGCACATCCACTATCCCCGTGAGCCAAACGACGAAGCCGATCAACAACTTCTCGATGTTCTCAGCGCGCACAAGGACGGTACTTTAGCGTCGCTGAAAGATGTATACATCACATGGGTATACTACCATCGCGGAGAGGAAGAATTCGATCTGCTAGAACGACTTCAGTCGCTGGTACAGATCAAAGCACAATACGAGACGTCATCCATCACGTTTGACATTACGTTGACAATCAGAGACGACAAAGGTAAATGGTCGTTGGTCAGGGGATCGTCAAGCAGTGCTAACGTCTACTAGGGATCAGACGCAATTGGCCTAAGCTGGCCAATCTAGGACTGGTCATAAATGGGACCTACCTGAGCACTGATCCATACGATGAACCTGACCAGAAAAGTGTCTTTGTCGATTTCACGACCTCTCCTACTCGCTACACGGCGCAGGAACTACAGGATGATCGAGATCATTGGTCTTTCTGGTGAACCCGCGATTTGTATACCAGGGGCCACGGGGTATACTTAACACTCTTATCAGCTTCGTTTCCCGGTTCTGAAACTTGCCTACCTGGCTCGACATGAACCAGCTCACGATCACGATATTTCTAACCCGTAGGTCCCCTGGAAGTCGAGGTTCAGTGTCGCGCGTACGGACGTCGATTGCGCAACTGTCGTCATCGTCCATATCTGTCGATACACCTAGGCCCTATTCCCGGCTTCTTAATGACTATGCGACATCGAGACAGCCTCATCAGCGATCTCGAGTCTGTGGAGATATGCGGATATGAAGCTTCCGGCGCTTCTTACAGCCACTTCGCACAATCCTTTCGTATCCCTCCTCTCATCAACAGTACGACATCGAGAGACTAGGCCACCAAAGCCTCATCATGGCTGTTGGCACAAGCATCATCGTCAACTGCGTGTGATACGCTACTTGACATCGCATTCATTATGCTAAAAGCTTCGGCGCCGGGTATGGCGCCTTGATGCCTCTCTCATCACGAAAACGTATTTATAGTTCTTGGTAGCCCCAGGCGCTGCAGCCACGGGCCACATGGTCGGTGGAAGACCCGCTTTCAAGATGCCAGCTATGCCGATCAGATGCACTGAAGTCAATCTGGCGTTGATCGCTTGACAAGGACGAAGTTGGTTATGCTTGTTACTCTTGTGGTAGCAAAGCACGTGCCGCCTGCACCAAGTTATTTTGAGGGGCAGAAGTCCACCAGATTTGTCGCCGTACTTCTAGTGCCCGGTCTTGCATATGCCGAACAAGTGTCTAACAGCGGCCATTCATCAAAACGGCTTGGAAATTCGGCTCACTGCGTGTGGCGTCATGGTATACCTTCTCAGTGTCGCCGGATGCGTCCATGCTACCTAGAGACAGTCGCTCCCTCAGCCTGGTACCTGCCATAGATGGGCTAGCGCTGACTGTGGAACACCAAGAATATAATCTGACTGGTCAGCTATTCCCGGCACATCGGTCTGAGTTCACGTTGCGGCTCACAAGGCTGAGGCCTCAATCGCTAGCAATCCTACTCCGCTTAAGCTAGTCTCCCGCGAATTATACTGAACGCCAGAGTACCCTGTCAGGCTAAATGCTGGGTGTAGCATACATACGAAGCACCTTGCTCTATTCAGTTCGACTTCCTGAACTGAATGGGGGCGGTGTCAGCAATTCTTCCTTGGCGCAAAAAGCACCGCACAGCAAGGCTGAAAATCGAGGTATTCCGACCCGCCGCAGCATCCAACGCCAATGGCTCCAAAATCATCAAAGATGGATGGAATTCCTGTCAAGGAAGCTTCTTGGGCCATACAAGCTGTCGGCCAGATCACATCAGCCACTCCAAGTACTCTAGAACGACCGACTTCAAATGGACTCCAGATGATCATGGCATACAACATCAGGCGAGAACACGCACTTGGCACCTGTGCATAATGACTCGGCCCCAAAGCCACGGCGTCGGAGTCAACATGAGCTTTGAACATCTTTACAATTCCGGCGATGTCTCTCCATCACACCATCAGCACGCTATGCTGTGTGATATTGGGGGCCAGCGTCGTCGATTGGCAAAGATGCATGCACAGTGCCTCTTGATAGCGGCAAGAGGCTCGAGTAAACCTCACATTCGCTTTCCCTTGCTCTGTCACGGATATCCGGTCGGCAAATCTGACCCCCATGGGACTGAGCCTTAACATACTCACCCTTTAGGTCAGGCTGAACACACGAACATAAGTAGAGCGTTGTGCTCGTAATGATGGAGCAGAATTCGGCCTGAGACTACCACCCGCTTCTGAGACTTATCTGCATCTGCTAGAGTTTACCAGTCAAGTCTCCTCCAACGCCTACAATCCATTTCTCCTGGAATTGATACCCTCTCGCCTTCGCCACCATGTCTTCCTTCACCCTACAGAAAGCACTGCTATCCCTCCTGCTCCTAGCAAACGTCGCCATCGCCGTCCGCTTCAGTTTCACCATCCAGGAAGTACACGTCGGGGTCACCCGTGACTTGCAAGAAGACGACCTGCTTCTCGCCATTGCCTCAACGGCAGGCAGCAACACCATCAAGAACTCCTGGCTTGTGGGCGAGGTCGAAGCCGATGCTATCGTTGCGGCAAACGATACCGTCAAGTACACGCAGGAGATCGATGTTCCCGATGCTGCTTCGAACCTGTCTGTAGCCATTGGTGGCTTGAACACAGATGATGAAGACGAGGAGTTGGCTTTCAGTAAGCAGTACATCGACACATGTCCCATCGCTGCTAATACTTCACTAGATTTCGTGGAAGGCATAGCCGCCGTCGCTGCCGCAATCCCAGGTCCGCAAGCTCTACCCGCCAAACTGCTCAGCATCGTGCTCGGCGCTATCGGAAACCCCTTGAACTGCACTGGTCCAGTCATAGTCGGCAACGCCTTGTATACCAAAGACCAGATGGACGAGCTCGAGCAGAACAAGCCCTCATGTGAGACCAAGGAGTACGGATACGATACACCATTCGCTTGTGCACCTACCGGTCAAATTTCGAGCTACTCTGTTACCTATTGTCTTGAGCGACTTGACGCCAAGTCTGCGGCAGCCGCGAGCTCACCGAGTCTGGCTGCTCTGGTAATGAGCCTTGCGGTTGCCGTCATCTACAGCGGCTTATGAACGGTGATTCAGGGATTGGGATCAAATGGTACACAAGTAAGCTTGCTGAGCTGGGTGTAAGCTCATTGCGGGTTGTAGCGTTTCACTTCAGGACTGGGGAGATTTCAACAGGCGAAAAGCTACTTGGGAGGTTCACGCTTCCGTATCTTGGTTCCTTAGTTCCCCTTTGTAGACAACAATTGGCCCTATGGTTCGCGAGAGATATACTGTCGCTATAGCAAAATATTAGAACTCTTTTTTGTCGAACAGGTCGCAGAAATACCAAATCAAGTAGCTATTCAGCAGTCGGGGTGACAGAAGTCTCCTAAACTCAGGTAGTGAGGGTGGAATCATTTCTAGCGAGAAAAGCCAGGGTATCAATTTACTATCTATTCATCACAAGCACATTACTCCAAGCTCTCATAGAAAACTTAAGCATCAATCTCAGCCCTCAGGTTACCCCGTCCGCGAGCGATCGCATCACCCAGGTCCATGTTTGAGGCTTGCCCACGCACGCTCGAGATGAAACGGCGTCCTCCATCCATATTATTCTTGTGCTTCTCTTCCTCCTCTGCATCCTTGATCTCTTGTTGTCGGACACGCTCAGCACGCTGCTCCTCTAGCGATGTCGCCTCTGCTTGCATTGCAGCTAGGCGGTCAGCAGCGCTCTGACGGGCTTCCGTATCATCGGCTTTGCTTTCAACTTGTTTCTCGACTTGTTTTCTCGGTGGTGTACGGTCCCGTCGTCGGTATGTGTCGCGGTCGCGAAGATCGCGACGATCCTCCCTCCTGCGTGGTGATCGAGTGCGGTCTCGTCGGCTGCTGTGTTTGCGGTATGGTGATCGTGAGCGGGATCTCGACCGTCTACGATGGCTGTCACGATGGCTGTCGCGATCGCGACGATCTTCTCGGTCTTCTCTCCTACGTGGCGACCGCGATCGGTGGCGCCGACTGCTGTGTTTGTGCTCGCGCTCGCGACTCCGCTCCCTGTCCCGGTTCTTGTGTTTCTTTTCTCGCTCCTTCTCTTTCTCGCGCTTTTCGGCGTATTTAGCCTCTTTCTGCGCGTCCTTCATGGCCTTCAACTGCATCTCCATTTTCTGCTTCTGGATCATGAGGAGCGGGTCTTGAAGGACCTTCTTCTGTGTGTCGCGAGCAGTGTTCGCATTCGTATCGGCCGTGGCGGCGTCGATGCCAACTGCAGCGCCCTTCTGAAGGCTTTGTGTATCGTTCGACTTCAGCAGGTTGTCGATCCTGCGTTTGCCCAAAAGGTAGCCCTCGCGCTCCTCTGTGACGCCGGCATCGCCGCTCGGGCCTGAATACATCCAGTCAACCCTTCGCTGTACGACCTTGCCGCCATTCTCAGCTTGCAGTCTCTGCAGCTGCTCGATCGCCGCTTCCTCTTCACGTTCCTTGCGCAACTTCTCGATCAGTTTGCGCTCCTCGAGCGCAGACTTCTCCTCCTTCCACACTCTCTCCTGGTTCTTGCGCAGGTGGGGATGCCACGACTTCTTCAAATTGAGATCGCCTCCCATGGCTGCGAGAGGTGTGGTGTGTGTGCGGGTAGGTGAAGTTTGTTGGTGGGTTTGCGAGAAAGGTGTGATGCGCGAGTAGGTGTGTTCTTTGGTGGGATTGCGAGCAAGGTGTGGTGCGCGGGTAGGTGAGTTCGGTGGGTGTGGTGGATGTGGATGTGAAAAGGTGATGGAGGCTGGCAGATGAGTTGCGCGACAAAGTGCCAAGGCGCTAGGCCAGGCCCCACCCAAAAGTTGACCTCCGCGACTTCTCCGCAAAAGTTTCGAGCGGACGAATGCGCCCATATACAGCCCGGATATCCACGTCACGACAGGCGTTTCCCGACCGAAAGACGATTACGTACTCCGAGAAAAGTCTATCATATTGCGATCCGCAAAAGAGTCACTTTCCTCGCAGCAATGGCGACGCGCAAACGAAACGAGTACCTCGACGTTGAGGAAAGCGAAGACGAGGAGAGGGGCTATGATTCCGGGGAGGAGAGCAGAGCGCGCATGCTACCTACGTCAAAGCGGCAAAAAATAGATCACGTCTCTGACTCCGAGGGCGACGCGGAGGAACTGGAGGATGATGAAGAACAAGCCTTCGACGAAGAAGATGCCGAAGAAGGAGACGACGACGAGCAACACGCACCGAAGCACTTCGCCTCTAAGAACGCCGAACTAGCACATCTCGAGAAACTCGCTGCGTCCCTGCCCTCAGAGATGAGGTTACAAACCACAAAACTCGGAAAGGCTCTGCCACCCTCATCACTCAAGAAAGACAAGTCCGGCGTCATATACCTCTCGCGCGTCCCGCCCTTTATGAAGCCGGCCGTAATGCGCTCCCTCTTAACACCCTACGGCGCCGTAGGCCGCATATTTCTCACCCCAGAGGACAGTACATCGCGCACCCAGCGCCTGCGCAACGGAGGCACGCGTCGCAAACTCTTCCTCGACGGCTGGGTCGAATTCCTCCACAAACGCGACGCCAAATTCGTTGCCGAGAACCTAAATGCGCAAACAATGGGCGGAAAGAAGAGGGGCAGGTGGCACGACGAAGTGTGGAATATCCGGTACTTGAGTGGAGTCAAGTGGCACAACCTGGTCGAGCAGATCCAGAACGAGAACGCAGAGCGCGCGGCAAGACTCAGGTTCGAGATTTCGCAGGGCAAGAAGGAGAACAAGGCGTTCTTGGAGAACGTGGAGAGAGGCAAGATGGCTAGTGGTATCGAGGCTACTAGGCGGAAGAGAGGAGAAGATGTCGATGGCGATAACGCGGCGACTGAGGCAGCAGCAGCGGTACAGGAAGTAGACGGGAAGCCAAAGAGGCGGAAGGGAAGGCTTGAGTTTTCGCAGCACACGGCTACGAGCAAGGCAATGAAGAAGCCTGAGCCGGGTCAGGACGTGAATAGGGTGTTGAGTAGTATGATGTAGAGCGTTGCGCATGATATCCAAGAATACGAGTATATTTCAGACTTGAACCAAAGGCCTCAGCCGTATCTATGCTGCGAGTGTATGCCGTAACGTAATAGTAATAACGCCAAATTCCTAATGCCTTTTCGCATCAAATAACGCCGGCCCTTGGGAGCACAATGCCAGGGTATAAGTACAGTATCGTTTTTTCGCCCCGTTTATATCGCCGTTCCTCGCTCGAAGCTGTCCCGTATCTCGCTCGTGTATTTGTTGTAGAAGCGCGAGAGCTTGTCGTTGAACTGCTTGTTCTTCTGGTTGATGTACGTGACATCGCCCATATCCTCTGAGTCGCGTATGCCCCTCGCAGCCCTGGCCTTCAACCTGGCGCGCTCGCCCTTCTCCAAGTCTTCTACTAGCCTATCCACGGCTTCCTTCGATGGCTTGTGGTCGTGGCTGTACGCTTCGTCGACTGGTGTGTTTATGCGCCCTTGGTTGTCGACGGTGTAGATTTCCCCGGCATCCGTTTCGACGAGTTGCAGAAGTCCGGAGGATACCTGCGACTGCAGTTTCCTTGCCTTCTCCTCGGCATACGCCTCCAGATCGACCTTGCTCATCTGACCAATCTGCCTCTTGTACACCTTGTTCGCCTCATTCCTGTAGTCTGCGAACGCGACTCCCTCCCTGTTCTTTGACTTCTTCTTCAGCCGCTTGTCCCAGCTCTCGCTCTCTTCAACTGTGTAGTCCCAATTCCTCTTGCGCTCGAAATCAGGGTCTTCGGATTTGAGGAGTTTGTACGAGGCTTTCTCGTTGAGGGCGCCAAGTTTGGAGATCTGCGCAAGGCGAGAACTGCGGTCTTCGGCATCGCGAACCTCGCGCTCTGTCTCTTTACGCCCGTTTACTTTGGCTGCTTGGAGCGCTTTGAAGCGGGCCATTCGCGCAGCGAGCGCAGCTTTCGGATCGGGGTTCGTAGTCGCACTAACAGAGCTATCTTCCGTCGAAGCGGCTTCGTGGACTGTGATCGCATCTTGCGCTGGCGCTCCATTCGCGCTCATGGTGTCTGCTGCTTCGGCCTTTTCGATTTTGGGCGGCACGGATACGGTAGTGACCTCCTCTTCGACATTTTGAGGGGCTTCGGGCGCGGGCGCCGCTTCGTCTACTTTTGCTAGGTCGGCCATGGTGGGTTGTTGTTGCTGTGAGGACAGTCGCTCCTCCGCGAAATGTTGGATTGACGACTGCCAAGCCACTAGCGTGGCTTGCATGCGACAGCCTCGACCCTGGATGAGGCCTCATCACTCCTCGATATCACCAAGGCTAAGCACCAGTTCTGCAAGGTCGGCAACACACCAGTTGTATCAATACACAGCTATGGACGTTCTCGATGGCCTATCTGTCGTCTCCCGGCGCGATCGAACATGCATTCCCGCGTTCCGCCTAGATTCCCAGTCACATGGAGGATCGATGAGACACCGACGAGCAACGACATGTCGATCTCGTATCGAGTAGGAAGATCTTGATCATTAACCGCAGCAAATTCCAGATGCCGCGACGCAACTGATTCTGGAGCCATGCCCTGTGTAATGTTCAGAAAGAGATGCTTCCAAAGAAAATCGGATATGGGTTCCTGCATGGAGTAGACATTACCTAGGTATGGGGGTTATACCACCCAAAATCTGGCTCAATTTATTGTGGTTGCTTCTCGGAGATTTAGATATGATACTTATAGTACTTTACGGAGGTAAGCACCGGATGATTCCACCACTCACAGCGACATTGCTGCTCGATCTTATCCTAATCCCGGGCAGCAGCTCACAGATGATCTTCGTATACTGGATGAACAGGAAGCTTGATCTTGGACCCATTGTGGGGCTGCTAACTAATAAGGCTAAATGGAGATGATGCTTATACAAAAGCTTCGCCTACCGCGAATCATGGCATATCAGTCGCTTGCGAAGCTCCCTGGGTGTATCTCAAGGCACTAAGTTACCTCAAACTCCAGTCATGGCGCTCTCCAGCTACCTCGTCCTGGCGCTGACGACCTTCGCGAGTACACACGCATCCCTACAACCCCGACAATCCTCCACTGTCACCGTCGACTTGACCAAAACCTACCAGACCATAGATGGCTTCGGCATATCGGAAACCTTCCAACGCGCGAACCAAATGCATGCTCTCTCGCCTACACTCCAACGCTACGCCCTTGACCTACTCTTCAACCGCACGTCCGGCGCCGGCTTCTCTATCTTGAGAAATGGGATCGGTTCGTCTCCAGACTCCAGCAGCGACCACATGGTTTCCATTCAACCCACGAATCCCGGGGGTCCGAATGCGACGCCGAAATATGTGTTTGACGGCAATGACAACAGCCAAGTCTGGGTTAGCACCGAAGCAGTGAAAACATATGGGTTGCGCACCGTGTACGCAAATGCATGGTCGGCACCAGGATACATGAAAACAAACAACAACGATGCGAATGGAGGGTCTCTATGCGGGGTGTCCGGCGCCAGTTGTTCAAGCGGTGATTGGAAACAGGCGTATGCGAACTATCTGGTTCAGTACATCACTTACTATAAGAACATCGGGGTGGAGATCACGCACTTGGGTTTCCTGAACGAACCAGATCTTACGACAAGCTATGCCAGCATGAGGAGCAACGGGCAGCAAGCCGCGGATTTCATCAAAGTCTTACGACCAACACTCGACAAAGCGAACTTTACAAGCGTAAAGGTTACATGTTGTGACGCCGAGGGATGGAGTAGTCAGCAGAGTATGATGAGTGCACTGAGTAGCGTGAGTAGCCTGTTGGGTACGATCACCGCACAGTAAGTCCTCTACCCAAACGCCAAAACCGCACACTCACCATCATCTAGTTCCTACACATCCCAACCCAACAGCCCGATAAACACCCCCCACCACGTCTGGCAAACCGAAAACGCCGACCTCCAAGGCGCATGGACAACAACCTTCTACAGCAACAACGGCGCAGGCGAAGGCCTAAATTGGGCAAACAAAATACACACTGCACTTACAACCGCCAATTCCTCCGCATATCTATACTGGATCGGCGTCCAAGGCGGCGCAACAAACAGCAAGCTAATCCGTATCTCGGATGATAAAACATCCGTCCTGCCGAGTAAACGTCTCTGGGCATTCGCGAATTGGAGTAGACATGTAAGACCCGGTGCTGTGAGGGTAGGTGCGAGCGGTGGGCCGAGTGGGAGTCGGATTAGTGCGTTTAGGAATGTGGATGGGAGTTTGGCGGTGCAGGTTATACAGGGGGGGACGGTGACGGGTGCGGTTACGGTTCAGGTGAGCGGTTTTGTTGCTACGGCGGCGAAGGCGTGGATCACGGATAATGGACATGATTGCGATGAGATTGTGGCGACGTTGACGGCGGATGGGGGTAGTGTTAGTGCGCAGGTGCCGGGAAGGAGCATGGTGACTTTTGTGTTGAGTCCAGCGACTTAGTTGAGGGGTTATGCGATAGTACGGAGATGGCTGTGATAGTGCGTCTCAAGAATGAATCTGACAACAAGATAATGAGGTTCATCGTACTTTCGTACATGGTTAATCTCACGTTCCTTTAAACCAAAGGAGCGGGTACAAATAATTCGCTACAAGTCGATCACAGTTTCATTACTGTACGGCTCATTCATGATTCATGTCGGCGTTGTATCGAGCCGCTCTCTACACACAGTTCCGTCTAGATAGGCTCGTCTCTGGGCTCAATAAGTACCTCGTTGACAGAGACGTGGTCCGGCTGCTTGAGCGCATACACAATACACTCAGCAACGTTCTCTGGATCCAGAACCTTCGCGCCAGTTGGCTCTCCAAACTTCTTCAAAGCCTCCTGATCTGTGCTCATACCCAGCAGGTCCGTCGCCACATTTCCTGGCTGTACAGCAGTAACTCTCAACCCAGTCCCAGCAGTCTCGAGCCTCAAGGTTTGCAATGTAGCTTCGACGAAGAACTTTGATGCCGAGTAGACGCCGAGACCAGGGAAGACCTTCCGTCCAGCATCCGAGGAAATGGCGAGAAGGTGGCCCTTTCCGCGCTTGAGCATCGAAGGTATGATGGACGAGATGACGTTGAGAAGACCTTTGCAGTTGACGTCGACGGTTTGATTCCATTGGTCGGTGTATGTGTTAGCCATCATGGTGAAGTACATGACTCCCGAGACGTTCACGAAGATATCGACGGGTCCAAGCTGGCTCTCCGCTGCGGCAACGAGGGCCTCAACCTGAGCCTTGTCGGTGACATCCGTCTTTTGCGTAATGACCTTGCCTTCGCGGATCACGAGGCGTTTTTTGAGGTCTTCAAGGGCATCGATTCGGCGTGCTGCGAGGGCGACGTGGCAACCCTCTCTGGCGAGAGCAGTGGCGGTGGCAGCGCCGATACCGGATGATGCGCCCATGACTACGGCAACCTTACCGAAAAGAGGACCTCTTCGTGGAAGCCTAGCAGAGCCACCAGCAGCATCCTGGTGTGCGGGCGGCTTTGGAAGCCAGCCACGTGCATACCAGTGTCGTGTGTACGTCTCAAGTAGTGTCTGGTCCACCTTTGGGCGCTCCACTGCGAGGCGCAGCGGCCTGGTCTTTGCGTTATCGAGCACCACAACATCCCTCAGGAACTCGACGCTTGGCATACCGCTTCGTAGGATATCAACGGTGAAAGCACCGTCACCACCCTTGGCAGAACCTCGCTTGTCATCCCAGAGGCTAGTCCACTTCTCGAATTCCATCGGCTGGGTTGGGTATCCTAGGGCACTAAGATCTTCGAAGACCTTACTGATGTCGACTGGGTCAGGGTCTCCAATGTGGAACATCGTCTGATCGGTCTCGGTTTGGTTGCTAAGGTGCATTATGGCCTTGCTGACGAAGTCGACAGGAGTCATCTCCGCGCGCCAGCCCTGGACATCAGGGTAGTAGCCGATTCTGATCGACTCGACAATCATGGCTGTCAACAGATCCCATGCGTTGGCAGCACCTGTCTCACTATGACCGCTGATGGTTCCTAGACGGTGGATCTTGATGGGAAGGCCTCTACGGCCAGCCTCTAGAGCGAGCTGCTCAGCAACCCACTTAGTCTGGCCGTAACCATCAGCAAGTTTGGTAACATCATCGACCTCCAGCATAGCGTCTTCAGACCATCCTTCGCGACCCTTGGCAGGCAGAAGTACTCCGTTGGTGGAGATGTATTGCACGGTAGCACCGCCTTGAGCAGCGAGACGAAGAACCTCTCTTGTACCACCAACGTTGGGCTTCTGCAGCGCAGCATAGGGGTAGACCAAGTTGACAGTGGCAGCTGCGTGGACTATCACGTCCAGACGGTCGGCCAAGGCCTTGAATGTATCCGGAGCGAGACCGAAACGTTTACGCGACAAGTTTCCTGGAAGAATCTCGACACGCTCCATAATGTTGTCGCTCCACAGACCAAAGTCCAGCAGATTCCTACGTATCCTAGCAATACCAGCGGGTATGTCGTCTTGCGAGGAATCAGCGAATCGGACCATGCACACGATCTGGGCAGATGTGGTTTCGAGAAGATCTCGGAGCAGGAACGCGCCCAGGAATCCAGTGACACCAGTGAGTAATACAGTCTTCGCATCCTTGAGCGCACACATCTTGGCGTCTTTCGGCTGGATCTCCTTGTCCAGAACGGAATCTGCTCGCAGAACGGCAGGCAGATTCTCCTGGACTTCGGCGGTGTGACCATCCCGGATAGCTCGAACGGTATCGAGATGGCCATTGAGAGTTGCTGGAGTGGCGAGGCGTGCGACCGGCACCCTAAATCCGAAAGTGTTCGACAGGCGCGCGGCGAGATCGGCAAGTAGCAGTGAGTGACCACCGAGATCGAAGAAATTGTATTCTGGAGTGATGGAGCTTGGGCTGATGCTCAATATAGACGCCCAGATCTGGGTGATCTGTTCGATGGAGATAGGACTCTGCTCGAATTTGCGTGCGCTTCCTGTGGGGGATGCAGGCCTAGGAGGAGGAAGTGCCTTGAGGTCGACCTTTCCAGACACATCGCTCCTGGGAAGACTGTCCATCTCAACCCAAAGTGCGGGTATCATGTAATGGGCAAGGTATGCCATTAGCATGCGCCTGGCGGTCGAGCTGCGGCCTGTTCGGTCAATCTCAACCTCTGGACGTTCCGCAGACGCGTCTTTGTCTCGCACAATGTACGCAACTAATTGTCGATCGATGCCTTCTCCGAAGGGTACAACAGCACAGTGGCTGACAGCCAAGTGGTTGAGAATCGCGCTCTCAACTTTTCCTGGTACAACAGAGTATCCGCGGATCTTGATCATTGCGCCGACACGTCCAGTGATCTCAAGCAAGCCATTCGATAGAAGACGTGCCTTATCGCCAGTCCTGTACATACGAGCACCGGTCTTCGAGCTGTAAGGATTCCGGATGAAAGCTTTAGCGGTGGTCTCGGGGCGGTTAAGATATCCTCGAGCAAGCAAGTGTCCACCTACGCAGAGCTCGCCATTTTCTCCTTCGTCCACTTTCTGGCCACTCTCGTCCACGATGTAGATGTATTTCCTGTCAATGAGCGGCGGTCCTACAGGGCAGTAGGCAGCATCCTTGTCCAGCTTCTCGAGCATATCCTTGATGTCTCCACAGGCTATCTCGTGAGTTTCGCATGCGCTGTACACATTGAGTAGGCGGGTATTAGGTAGAGCTTTGATACCACGACGTGCAAGGTCGGTGGTCACAACTTCGCCGTTAAGCCAAACAGTCTTCAGGTTTGGCAGGCGCGTCTCCAGCGCTTGGTGACGTGCAAGAACGGCAGAGAAGAGTGTTGGTGTGAAAAGAGTCTCTGTGATCTTTTTCGAGGCGAGTAGGTCGACAAGCATGCGCGGGTCATAGCTGGCCTCGTCCGGTACAGCAACGACAGTCGCACCTCGCAACAGCGGGCGAAGAATTTCCCAAACAAAGAACACATTGCATGCCACACGGTCGCCTGGCTGTATGTCTGAGAGTCCAAATCGAAGGTTATATGAGAGAACCGCCGCTCGGTGTGGGTTGGCGATGCCTTTCGGCTTGCCAGTTGTTCCACTGGAGTACGCAACAAAGGCCAAGCGGTCCAAATCGGTCTCTTCGGGCAGTGGCTTCAACTCTGACTCGCTCAAATGGCCGTTGGTAGCTGAACTGGTTTCATCCAGAACAACAAGCGGAGTGCTTCCCTTGATCTTGCCGACTTCGGCGCTGATAGTAACCACGACGGTAGGTTGAGCATCCTCTAAAACATCCGCAAGGAGGTCGGGAGGGTAGGCCAATTCCAGGACCAAGAATGCACCGCCGGCCCGTAGGGCTGCTAGACAGGCGATCACATAGTCGGCGGATCGCGGCAACAGGACACCTACCAAGCTGTCACGGCCGACGCCATGACCCCGCAGCCGGTCGGCGAGGGCAGCGACTTTGTCGTGGAGCTCCTGATAAGTGTATGTATGCTTGTCGTCTTCCAAAGCAATCAGATCCGGGGTAGCTTGGACCTGTTTCGTGAAAAGTGCCGAAAGGTCCTTGGTAGTGTCGATGACAGACATGGTCTGTAATTTTCCAAAGGAGGGGCAAATGAAAAGTCAAAGTTTGCGAGTAAAGGGTACCCAACGTCTTATTTATTGAGTTGTACACCCCATAAGTCGGATCGATAGCCCTCGTTGAGTGATGCAAAGCGTGGGGAATTTGGCTCGTTGAGGATGAGGTGGTTCGCTAATTCCTTCGCGCATCATGGCACTTTCCTTGTCTTGAGGTGGTGCCGAGAGGCCTGCCGATAACGTCATTTGCTAGCGTTAACTAACAATCCAACAACCCCATATCATTGCTCAGTGATGCGCATCGTTGGGGCCGTCGGAAAGTCGCCTTTGGCTGGTTGGTTCCTTGTTGACAGCTTGCATGAACACCACCCGGGTTACTGCCGACACAGTGTGGCCGCCTGTCGGGTAGTCGCTCCATAGCGTCAGTCTAGAGAACTCGTAGTGCCTTCCCACTGGAGAAGGAAAGGTCGCGCAGTTTCTGCTGAGACTTTCGGGGGCATCAATGGAGACGTGTGGATGCGGGAGGCGTTGTGGGGGTGTTCAATTCCACCGGACAAGAGCCGTGGCACGTCTCTATACTGTACACGGTCAGCTTTACTAGACGATCGGGAGCGCATTTCTTGTGTTTCATGTCCATTTGATTCGCGCATCGCCCTCTTGAGCTATTGTGCGTTGTAGAAGGCTTCGGTGCTCATGCTTATCGCTGAGTGAGACATAATAAAAACACCAGGGGGTCTCAATCGTTCGAATAAGCATCGCAATGCGTAGTCATGTACCGATAGTTTGGTAAAAACTGGACTGAGGATATGCAACTTACTGTTAGTCGATCTTAGGACGTTGAGGTTGTCCAGTTGAGGTTTTGGCGGCGTACAACATGTTCGCGGGTACGAGGCGCATGAAGAGGCTATGCCATGTAGAAGTACGTTGCGCGGGTAATGCGTCTCAGTATATACAAAGCTACAATTGCAGTAGCGCTGCCCTGGTTATATAAGAAGGAAGACCAGTGTCGAGATCATCTCCGAGGTGCGGGTGCGGGGAAAGACGCTAGGGCACGGTACCAGACGCACCCGTGGACGTCAGCCTTGCACAAGATTGACGAGTCGGTGTGGTTCGTCGCCTGACTGACGTGTTTACCAAATGATTTCATTGCGCTACATACGTAAGGAGTCCTGAACAGCTCCAGTGCTTCATCTGCGCTCAACCCTGCCACTTGGTACGCCTCTGCCGAAACATGGATACCATACCGATCGGCAGCAGTCCGAAGTCAACGACATTCAGGCCACCGAACTTACCAATCATGTCCGGGCCGTACATTTGTGCGATCCACTTCCAGTAGGCATCCATAGTATACCAGTGTGCGGTGATGCCACGTAAATTGTCAGAACGGTCCTCGAGCTGCTCCAGCGCTTGCAGGACCTGTTCACTTTCGTCGATGGGCTTTTCTTTTGGGCGCTCAAGCAGCGTCTTGTAGACCTCCGTCAAGTTCGCCTTACCCATGGGAGCGAACGTCTCGGGATACTTAGTGAACTCCTCGAAGGATAAGAATGTGTTGGGGTCGTCAGGCTTCCAGTTCGCGTCTTGGAAACTGCGGCGCACACTATGCCGGATACCCTTGTCAAACGCGCGCTTTATAGTGATGTAATCATCGTGCAAGTTCTCTTCGTACTCATCCAACAAATCATACGGGTTCTCTTTGACTGAGTCTCGGATCTGCAAGAGTCCAACGAATGGAGACTTCAGATCAAGACCTCCAAGCTCGACCGGGAAGAAGAGGAATCCGTCTGGCACATCTCCAACAGAGAAACGCTCTTTTATCATCGTCTTGAGATGCTGTACGATACTCCCATCGGGGAAAATGCTATCTTGGATATGGCGATGGGTGGCGAGCATCATATCGACATGTTCGCGACCGAAGCAGTTGGAGGATGTCCCGAAGTTAGAGCTGAAGAAGGTAGCCGCATACGAGTTCTGTTCTCAGTGGTTAGCTATGCTGATATGGCATTGAGAGAGTTAAATTACTTACCCAGACCTGAATATAGTCGATGACGCTTTTCATCTTGCCTTGCAGTTGCGTACGCAACTCTTCCACATGACCATCAACCATCTTTTGATCGATCTTGAACTGTCCACTCTTTGGATCGAGCTGCAAGAATCCCCATCGAATCTCACCTTCCGGAAGTCGATCGTCAATCTCAGCATCGGAGTCGCGTGAGATGCGAACACTGCCTGTCTTCTTGTGGTCAAGCTAGAATTATCGTCAGTCGAATCAACGTGGGCAGAGTTCATTAGGAGACTGACCTTGGTTCCCGTAACTTCTGCAAATTTGACGATACTTGCCCAGGCTTTGGCACACGTGTTGTAGTCCCTGTGCCAGAACCAGACGTTATCACCAAGACGGTATAGATCTGGCCCGCCGGCGGCTTGGTTCGCCGCGTAATCCAAGCAGAATAACACTGCCTCCCCCAAAGTATCGCTCAGAGCGTGTGAGCCTGGCATGCCTCGACAGCGTAAACGCGGCTCAGCGGATGGGTCATCATTGAACTTCAGAGGTGCCTGAAGGTATCGCTCGAAGAACTTCTTCCACCTATCCGAGACGCCAAGGAAGTCTAGGACCGTATAAATGGTCTGATGTGGCAGTAGTGGATTCCACGAGTCAAAAGTCGTAGAGAAGCAAGTCAGTTCCCCGTGCAGTCTTGTGTTCAGAACAATCTCGGTGGACAAAAGATGAAGTAGGCCTTGCTTTGCTTCCATGGGTTTCTTGGATCGGCGTCGGTAGTCTTCATCGTCGCGGTCGTACGAGTCCCTGTCGTCCTCTATTCCCTCGTCGACCTCGGCGCTCGCGTAACCCCCGCCAGCACGTTGGTTGGGTGCAGCAGCCCCGAACAAGCCGGCACCTTGAGAAGCTATTCTTGCTGTCTGCTTCGTACGTCCCCCACTTGGTTGCTGTACCGATTGCTGCCGAGCTGGTAACGACATAGACTGAACTCGCATTCGAGCCCCATCCGGCTGTCCGTTATTCCGGCGCTTCTTGGCTACGTAGTCTCCATACTCTGCCTCCTCTTCGCCATCTACGGCCTCGAGTCGCTGCGTGGGGTAGTCCAGCAATTGGTGGGCGAGATACCGATTGTGGTGCATACTCATCCGCTTCTTCTCAACACTGGACTGGGTACTCGCACCCTTATCACCCAGGAAGTACGATCGGCGCAAACGGGCATCTTTCGGAACCTCTGTGTAGTTTCTCGGCCAAGCTTGATGCTTGTGCATATCCAAGAATGCGGACTTGAAGAAGACGGACCTAGAAGTTCTGCAGTCAGAACTTGCGGGTTCATGTCTTGCGATGAAATCAACTTACCATTTCACACCGACGTAATGGAGGAAGATTGCCTGAAGAAGGTCCGGATCGAAATGGATAGAGAAGTCGCCATTGATCTTCCTTCGCTGCTCTAGTAGAACATACGGTCCCCAAGACCAGCGATCGAGAGATGCCATGCGCACGTTGAGAATGTCGCACAGTTCCGCGAGTATCACATCTACGGTACTGTTAGCTACTGGCTACTTTCACACAATACGGGTACTTACCATTATCGAGAAAGTCTCTGAGCGCTTCTCGCTTCTCGTTCGAAAGCAGATCAGAATTCAGAAGACCTTCAATGGTCGAGCGAAGGCTGTGGGGGTCGAACGGTGTCGAATAGTTCAGATTAGCCTCGAAGTTCTCCACTGTCTTGCGAAGCTCGCGAATGGCAGCGGAGCTGTCTTTCTTGTTCGCCTGGAACAACTCATCAAGATACGACCTCAGTGCTTGCTCGTCTACTTCGGCCGCTTGGAAGACGTCTTTCTCCCAAGCGGCGCGGGACGCCAGCTTTTTGGCACCAGGCACTTCTTCGAAGCTCTCACCCATTTCGACATCGCCATCGTCTGTTGCAGACTTTTCAGAAGAAAGCCATTCAGTGACGAGCTTGCCGTAGAGGTCGGCGTACTGGTACTTGGTCGACTGAACGGAAAGATACCGCAACAGTGTCTTTTCCCAGTCTGAGAGGACTTTGTTCGAAACAGAAGGATCAAAGCGGGCCTGTTCAACGAAGCGATCGAGATTCTTGAGATCAGTCTCGAGACGAAGGTTCCTGGATGTTCCGCTGATAACTCGACCGACTCGCCCATCTTTGGTTTTCTTCTCCGTCTGGAAGCCCAAACAAGTTTTCGAGCCATCGAGAAGAAGACATACGCGCTTCAGTGGGTCTGCTTCGGCTTTCGCGGCTGTGGTCAGTACAGCATACTCTTCTTCAAATACTGCGCGCTGCTTCGCAAGCTCTTCGAGCTTGGTGGTCGTGATGGTCTTGAGCGTCGCCCCGAACACACTACCGGACGATGTCGCCATGGCTGAGTCTCAGAAGACTATGTCAGATGGATAAGCTGGATGAGTGGTAGTACGTTCGAGGATTGATGAGGAAAGGGCGTGTGACGATAGGCTTTGGTGGTGGACGCTAAGATTGGTAAAAGAAAACCACTGAGAACGTGATTCTGCTCACTCGATAAGAGGGGGACTTGTGCGAATATATAGTGATGTAATTGCACTGCCGCATACTGAGTGCAATTCTAGCCAGTGGTAGGCAGTAAGGCAGGCAACAGGCAGCAAGCGCTTGGCAGGACCGTGCCCCAACTGAGTCCGTAATGCGGGGAACGCCTCGAACTATGCATCCTGCCAAGCTTTGGAGTGACACTGATGTCACTGTACACTGAAAGCTCAATGTTGGATCTGCTGAAGGGGATTTCGTAGAAAGAGAAGATGGATGGAGTCCTTGGGATAGCTAGGAAGGGACAACCATGTTTACCTGCCTATCGATAAGCGCACAGACCATCCATTGCCTCCATCGCATCCTCGACAGTCCACCGTGCCACTCAACCCCTCATCCAACATACTTACCCCAACTCATCAGGCGGCCATCTTCTCATAAATTGCTCTTTGAAACAATTCATGCAGCTTCAATATGCGCGGGCTCATCGGCGGAATGACCTGGCAGAACGCCACACCGCACACCCCAGCTTCGAAGTCGAGATACCAGGTCAAACTAGGAACGCCGCCCCAGAAGACCGTCCCAGCATTCATGCGTCCTTCCTGGCCTTGCTCGGCTATCATTCCAGCGAACGACCATTGCTTCTCGATTTCCGCAGGCAGACCCATACCCAGAAGCTGCGTGTGAAGAGGTGAAGACTTGAGGTAGTCGCTCAGCTCCTTCTTGCATCTCTCATCGAGCTGCGGTTTGAAAAGCTCGTCCCAAGAGTTCTCGCTCAAAAGCCTCGAGTCGCGTTTCAAGACGGATTGAAGGAAGGTGAAGTAGGCATCTGCGCTCGCGAAAGCACCCACACCTCCCAGGCAGTCTGTGGCATCGACGAAGACGTCGAATCCGCCAGCATCTACCGCCGGTCCTTCACCCTGCTCATTCAGCGTGCTGATGCTCGCCATGCGATCTTTCATATCGGATCCCTCCTTTGGGAAAAAGCTGATGTCGTCTATGCCGAGAGGATCCCAGATCTTCTCCTTCATGACGGCATCGAGTCTCTTCCCCGACACTTTCTCGATGACCTTGCCTGCCCAGTCCGATCCCGGGCCGTATCTGAAGCTGGTGCCTGGTTCGTAGAGAAGTGGCAGGGTATGTTTCTCCTCAACAGTCGGTCCACAAGATGGGGTCTCTCCGCGGCTTGCACGCCACTTCGTCAAATCAGGGTTGAGCCAATCGTACTCGTGGCCATTCGTGTGACTCAGAAGCATCCTGTTCCGGTCAGTTTCTCAGCAGCTAGTGCATTAGTATAACGCTTGCCTCAGGGTGATCGGCGTGGTGTTGGGCACAGTGACCGCCTCATTCATCTTTTCGTCGAAGCTCGTCATAATGCCGTACTTCCCAATGCTAGGCAAGTACTTGGCCACGTCTTCATCGAGAGTAACTAGCCCTTCTTCGACGCCCTTCAACGCTGCGACTGCAGTCATGAGCTTCGTCATTGATGCGATCCCGCATATTGTATCGAGGTGGAAAGGACGTGTCGAGCCTTCCGCAAGTGACTGAACACCTTTTGCTCCAGAGTACACGATGTTGCCTACTCTATCGTTAGATGGTTGTTGCCTTGTGCCAAGCATGAGTGCGGACCGTTCTTGTCGCCTGCGAGAAGAGCGTATCCGGGAAGAATCCTGTCTTCGATAGCTTTTTCGTACGCCTTTTCGAAGTCTGTCATGATGGTAATGCTTTCACTTTCGATAATCGAGGTTCAATGAGCGCTTACTCTGAAGTTACTCTTATACCTACGACATGTGTTGCGGATATTCAAGGCGTTGGCAAGGCGTATTGCAAATCGTAGGATTGCTGACTGCATGGTCAAAACCATCGCTACTCAGCCAATCATTGACGTGTTGGTCTAGAAAAAGACAACTATACTTCCATCTCTGTTAGGAGTTCGTTGCGAACCAAGAATCAAACCAGTACAGCGCATATACAGTACTTCCACGTGAAGTACATGCACCGACGCTGACACGCGACACAGTGGGGCTGCTTCGCGGGTACAGTACACCACCTGCACCCTCCTCAGACATCTCTACTTCGGCTTGAGCGATGCACCACGCAGCCTCTACGAATCGCTCGATGCATTGTCGCAGCGCCCCTATGTCCGAACAACTATTCCCAGAATACGCAAAATAGGCGATTGCTACGACAATTGCCGATCACATTGGCGCGAGCACAACGGGGCATCGCGGCTGTCGGGAGAAAAAGGGATTGAAGAGGTGCCCTGCAGTTTACATTAGTATCGAAAACGAGTGCTTGCAAAATCTGAGTGTAATGAAGAGTTCTACTTTGTTACTTCTACATCGTCAGTGGGTGTTAAATCCCTCTCCTGATCGAGATAAGTCGTAAGCTCATTGCGCACGCTCGCGAAAAGGTGACCCCCATGACCCCCAGTGCCGCTCTTCCGTAACACCCGTGGCCCAAGCCCGTTCCAAGTCCCACGGGCGCCCGCTCCCCAATTTCCCCGAAAGTCAACCGAGTCATCCTTCGTCTAGGCGCTGAGCGTTGAAGCCACGCGACAAACGCGTTCGGCATTGCCGTAGTGCGCGACGGCACATGGCAACGCTTGCTTTTTTGGCGTCTGGAGTTGTGTTTGGATGGGGAGAGTTGATCGGCTGGCCTGCCGAGTCAGGACTGAGGAGGATCGCCTCATTCGTGTGGACCCGGTTTTTCGCTTTTGCGATTCCGCGATGCTCCGCGGTACGATCATGCGGCTCCATAGGCCCCAGTCTGGGCATGCTGCTTGTGTGGTCTTGGACGCGCGTGTGCAGGCGTCGCCGTACATTGGAGGGTAGGCACGAAGACCTGCTTGACTCTTCATCTGATGAAGTGTTTTGTTGCATTTGTCTATTGGTTCTGAATGTATTATTTCGTAGTTCTCTAATGTGATGTGGCTTTCGTGACTGTGTTCAGTTTGCGCTTTTGCGGGTGGTTTACCCCTAGTCTTTCAAGGCGCTTGATCTTTGCTCGACGCTTCTGGTAACCTGTATGCCTCCACCTTTCACAGGCAGGATGTATTCCTCACTGCCGGTACTCCCTTGCCCATGGACCATATTGACCATCTGGCCATCTTCCAAGGCAACCCACTCTTCGTCTCTTCCACTCAGACGACTCTTTATGACTGGTCGTTTCGCATAGCCTGCTGCAGGCGTGTGGGGATGTGAGCTACCGCTGCTTCCGAGTTTGAGTACGCGCTGGAGGAGGGGACGAAGTGTGGCGACGCATCCTACGATCATGCCGACGCCATTCTCGGCGTAACCCCAGAGGATCACCTTAGATACACCATCTGCAGGAATGATCAGTACGTTTGTCCGGTGGGAGCAGAAGGGTCTGGGAACTTACGAAGGTAGTCGGTCGCATTGGTCAGATTAACAGTGTAGACAAGACGGATGCATGCTGAAAGACTTGCTCTGTGGGCCATTAGATGGTGATCTGGTTCCCAAGAGATAAGCGAAACTTACAATGCACCGAGACCGAGAATCACGCCGACCGAAAGCTTAGCATTACGGTTCAACTGTACGTTCCAGAGCAGCGGTATGGGTAGGAGTGCGCAAAACCAATCCGTCGCAATGTTGACTGCAGTCGTCGCGTAGTATATGTCGGCCAGTGTTTGCGCTGGGTTGCACTTTCCACCAGGAGTCGAGGTATCCCAAGCGTACGACACCGGCGCGCACTGGAAGATGATGTACAGCATCGCAATCAAGTTCATGACGATGAACATGGCTGAAACAGTGTACAAGCTGTAGATGTAGGCCTTTCTCCGGGATGCGATGCGGATGAGCATGAACGAGATGCTCATCTTGATCGGGATGATCGCTGCACAGTAGAAGACCTCGAAGAAGAAGAAGAACTACATGTTTTAGCTTGGAGGAATTACAGAGTTAGAGATAGATGTAAACGTACCTCCATCCCTTTAACTTTCTCTTCTGCGTTGAGGTTGTCGTCGTGGACCCCGACTCCGCTGAAGGCGCCCCCAATACATGCTATCGTCAAGCCAGTAAAGGGGACCTGTATCATCCTCGTCAGTTGAGTTATCTTAAACGAAGTTCCTAAGGTCGGCTCACAGTTGCAGCTGTCATGCTCCAGTCATCCAAGCCCCAAGCATTGTTGTGTAGTCTCGTATAGACTCGCAATCCGAAAAGAATGTAGGCAATAACTGCCAGTGCGATGACTGAAGCAGCAAGCTCAGGAGCGTTGTCGCCGTAGTAAGTCATGTTGATGCCCTTACGCTGATAGCCACGGCTTCCCAGAGCGCGAAGTGGGGAGCGAAGGGATGAAGTATGCAAAAAAGATGCAAAAGAAGGACTAAGGAGGGAACATGTGGAAACACATCAGGATGCGATGCAAAGATGCATATGGTTCAGGACATTGCGAATAGTTGTGAAGCAGACCCAAGCGGAGGCAACAAGCCGACCTGGTTTCAAGAAGGGAAAGAATTGGACGCATATCAACCTGTTATCGTTGATCTTCCGGGTTTCTCGAGTATCCACATCAGTCCAACAAATAATCTGACAGCTGTGTCGAGCACAAGCCGCCAGAAAGACCCGCACGAGACAGATTTTTGTCGCATTCTGGCATAGCTTCTGGGGCGTAATCTAGGATGCTGCTAGGAAAGTACGGCGACCCTCACCCGACGTTCGTTCCCGTGTCGAGGTTAGATATGGCGTGGGTCGCCTGACGATGTGGAACCGGTGAATGTGGCACGGCTGGACCATATTGCTGGGTGCTGTTACGTGCCTGGCTCCTGAACGGCTCCTATAGATGGACCCTGAAGGATCCGAAATCTTCGCGACTGACACTCGCGTACTCGCCGTCCATGGAATGG